TGCCACTTAGCTCATTTAAATAATTCATTTTTAGTTTTGGATTTTTTTTTTTTTTCATAAAAGGTACGTTTAGTTCTTTATTGGCTGACTTGGAACTGACTGTGCAGACCAGGCTGGCCTTGAATTCACATGTTAATTTGTTAATGATAAAAACAAAAGCTTGAGCCAGGTATGACCGCACAAATATATACAAATATGTTAAAAGGCTGAAGTAGGATGGTGAGTTCAGTGCCCGTCTGGGCTGCTGAGTGAAATCCTGGAGAAGACAAGGCCAGAAACCGTCTCAAGAGTTCTCCAGTAATAAGATGTTCAGAGGTTCTGAGAAGAACCTAGAAACTTCATGGAGCAAAGTTGTCCTTAGAGGGCTTCCGACCAGAGCTAAAACACAGGCTGCCTATCAGATGGGGAGCGCGATATAAAGGACACGACCTAGGAGGGATAGAAAGTGCCAGGCGTGGAAGCAGGGAGCGTTCAACTCTGGGAAGGCTGCCAGGGGTGACCTTGGAGGAGTGAAGACCTGAAGACCTACTCGCCCTCCAAGGTCAGGCTTCTGGCCGCTGTTGAGCTGTTGACTGAGGTTGTCTGCATGCAGATTCCTCTAAATGCAGACTCCCATCCTTTCACAAGGCCCTCAGAAACTCAGACTGTCCTAAGCATTCCAGATTTTTCTGTACTACTCTCTGGAGGATTTCCCATTTATGTATCTGGGGTACAACAGTGTGTGTTGGGTGCCGTGAACTGGGGCACCCATGGTTAATGCTCTTAGAGGGGACCCTGGATCCAAGGGATTGGCTGGCAGGGAGGCCCACTGGCCGCGGTGCCCATTCCTATGGACTCAATAGCTCTTCCCTGAGCCATATGCTTTATAGCAAGTCCTGTCCAAAGATGAAGGAGCGAACAGGAACCCCCTGGCACAGGAAGTGATTACATAGGCCAGACATTACAACCAAGGGCCTCTAGGACCAGCTCTGGGCCTTGCTGTATTGTATTTGGCCCATTTAATGTTTTCAGAACCCATGAACAGCAAGGCTTTCCGGCTTCTTTTGATCACTCCTGAGGCCTGGGCCCACCTCCTTCCTGTGAGGCACACCCTGTTCCTGGTCCCTGCTGGCCCCTGACATCACAGGGACTAGGCACTGACTCCACGGGTGAAAGGACAAGATACTGGTCTCCAGTGGGAAGAAGGCTGGGCTCCTCCGTGGCTCTGTCCTGACTCCTTATTTGCACACGGCAGAGGGAAGCATCAAGATTTCAGGTCCTTAGGGTCCTATTCAGTGCTGCTGAGAATGGGGGTACGGTGGCTCTAAGCAGCCTGAAGAGATTAACACTAGGGCCTCCGATAAAACACCCCACACCCCCGAAGCAGGAGTGGAAGAGAGGCACTGGAAGGTGGCGGACATTTACTTTTCCCATCACTTTTTTCTTGTGCAGCTCCTGGGGACCTATGCCCTGACCCACACTAGACAGGTGCGGTGCCACCAGCTGCAGCTCAGCCCTTTTACTCTTCACTTTAGGAGACAAGGTTTCACTAAGTGGCCTTGAACTTCCACTCCCCTGCCTGAGCCTCCTGAGTGGCTGGGGACAGGCTACAGTCACTTCCACTCTTAAAACTAGGAGAGTGGATGACCCTAGGGATGCCACCGAGAGGCCCACCTCTCCTCTCTTGATCCTCAAGGATGAAGAGGAAAGACGTTCCCATGGTTACTTGAACTTTCGGAAGGATGGCCACTTACCTACCACTGTTGAAATAAGCCAGTTGGAGACACCCAGTCTGGTCACGAGGGTCCTCCAGGGTATATCCTGATGGACATTCCCGAGTTTTGTGTCCCTCAGAAAAGACCCAGGTCCAACCAGCCTTTAAGGACAATCTCTGTCTGTGGCGTCCTGATTAGGATTGGGCAATCAGGCCCAGAGTGAGCCCCCAACTTCAAGAAAGCTTAGGATTTCCATGGAGATTCAAGGCAATTCCTTGAGACCTGACTCCTTAGGACCCTGCCGTCCACCTGCGGCCTGATGGGGAGAGGGCATACTCTACGGCCTGGTTTCCAGGGATCTGCTAAGAGTCACCCTGCAGCCTGTGAGGCAAGGAACAGAGGGACACATCCATTACCTGGGATGCCTGCACCCCTGGCCCACTGCTGTCCCTATGTCCTTCCTCTACCCTTCAGATCACACTAGCAAAGATGGCACATCCAAGTCATTAAACACATACCGCCAAATACTACCTTCTTTGGACCTTGTAAAACTATTGGAAATCTCCCATACTTAAACAAAACTTCCCAAGACAGGGGCTTATGTAGTCAGGCTGACCTCCAACTTGCTACATAGCCGAGGGTGGGTCATCCATCTCCCCAAGGCTAGGATTACAGGTGTGCACCATCATGCCCAGGGCAGTGTTGCTTCTGGAAGGTAATGTGGGGGCAGGGACAGGGTCTGGGGCTGTTCTGCTTACCACTGTATTCCCAGTGTGTCAACAGCACCTGGGACACAGCAGACCATGGTAAACACCAAGGCAATTGCTGTGGATATAATTCAGTAGTAGAGCACCTGCCTAGAGTCGCCCAGTGAGGGGTTGGGCTGTGGCTCAGTTGTAGAGCACCTGCCTAGAATCCCCCAGTAAGGGGTTGGGGTGGCTCAGTGGTAGAGCCCCTGCCTAGAATCCCCCAGTGAGGGGCTGGGATGGCTCAGTGGTAGAGCCCCTGCCTAGAATTCCCTAATGAGGGGCTGGGGTGTGGCTCAGTGGTTGAGCCCCTGCCTAGACTCCCCCAGTGAGGAGTTGGAGTGGCTCATTGGTAGAGCCCCTGCCTAGTATGTTCCAAGCCCTGGGTTCCATCTATAGCAACACCAGAGAACAAGAATAAAGAATGAATGAATGAATGAACGATTGAAGACTAGACCTACAGCAGTGGACTTAGGACACAGCTGTTATAAACTGGGCGACACCCCAGCAAGTCACTTGTCTCTAGGGGGCTCTGAAAAAATAACAATAATAGAACAGAGTCACTCAGTTGTTGTGTGGTCTCCCTGAGTTAATCCACTCCAGGTAAATTTGAATGAGGCCCTGGGTCTCACTAAACGTAGCACAAGCTGGTCTTGAACCTGAGATGCTTCTGCCTCGACCTCCCGAGTGCTGGGATTACAGGTATGAGCCACCATAGCTGGCGGAAGTATTATTTCTCACTGCTAGCCTGTTTAGTATCAATTATAAAATAACAGGGTTTTGTATGTCTTAAATCTGCAAGCTTTTGACGTTGTATGTTGAGTCTCTCTCCCTTACAACACTGTGAGCTTCATAGGAGAGTGATTGGATGGTTTAATTCTATCTGTATTCCCGGGGCCTGGAACAAACCTGGCACAGGGTAGGGGAATGGGATAGAAGGCTAGATGGATGATAGGTGATGTGTGGGTGGATGGATGTGTGGGTAGGTGAATGAACGGATAGGTGGAGGAATAGGTGGATGGACAGGATCCCTCCCTTCATTATCCCATCGAGACACTCAAACCCTTGCACCCCCCCCTTCCCTAGAGAGCCTCCTCCAGCCCTGCCCCACATACTTCCTGTGATGGTGATCCTCCTGCCCTGGTAGTAGTCTCCAAGGGTCACGGCGTTGCCCTGCTTGGTGGCCACCACCCTGACAGTGCGCACACTGTCCTGGCACTCCACATAGGGGTTGTAGCCAGGGTTGCCAGCTGCCAGCTGGGCATTTATCTGGTTCTCCACACTGGCGGGGGAGAAGGCGTCGGCCACGCGGTCTCTGCAGAATGACTTGTACTTCCAGATCACGATTGGGGTTGAGATGGAGCTGCTCATCTGATAGGTGCAGGGCAGCGTCACGGGCTGGAACAGGATCACCACGTGGTAGGGGTCCGACACAGTCACCTGGATGGTGTTGGCCGGAGCTGGGAGCAGAGGAGCCAACAAGGAGAGCTGAACTCAGTGGGTCCCGCAACAGCAAGGAGCCATGCCACTTAACAGTGAGTGTGTTTTCTTTTCAGAGCACTTGGCATACTGCTCCTTAATCCCTTAGACTGGTGAGGCAAATTGGATGATGTGCCCATTTTACACACCCTTGGGGCTGAAAAGTGATATATATGTAGCCCCTTAGGCCAGGTTCCTGGAATACTCTGCCCACCTTTTCCTTCCCAGAGACTCTCCTCAAAATGCACACCCAGACACAAATAGAACCCTTCCTGAGCCAATATTCAATGTAAGCGCGCAATGGCCAGCGGAGGATGGTTACAGGTTCTAAAGTCCACCCTACAGATACCCGGGAGGTGCGTGGGGTGGGGAGTCCCCAATTCCACACCCACTCCAAGCCAGGACTACTATTTCTCGAGCTCTTCTTTCAGGGACCGTCGGATCTAGCCCTCGAGTGCCCTCTCCCCGTTACCCCAACACTTAGAAATCTTGGGGTGTGCCCAAGATCCCAGTGCCTGGCCTTTCCCGTGATGGGGGGGGGCATTGCTCCTGTCCCACAAAGGGTACAGTTCTCAGGCTTAGAATCCCCAGAGTTTCACTTCCTGTTATCTCCAACAAAGGCGGAGGAGCGGGCTGGACGCGCCAATAAAAGAAATTCCCTTCCTCTGGCACACAGAGGTCTCCCCAGCTAGGCGGAATTTGGTGGTCTCGAATCTGCACCCTCGAACTAGCCATCACCCCCGCCTCTTGGTTCCAGCTCCTCCAGGACCGGTGAAAACCGCAGCCCTCCATCTACCTTCTGTAGTGCCCTCCCGCCGTCCCACAGCACCGGGGACCCCATTTCTTACCTGGACAGTAAATGATGAGAAAGAGCCACACGAAGAACATAGTGGTCGGGCGAGAGCCAGGCGCCGCAGAAGGCGCGCTGGGCGCCGGCGCCATCGCGGCCGTCTAGCAGCGACGGAGCCCGCGCGTCCCCTCCCAAGTATCCCAAGAGTAGGGGGCGCGGTGAGCACCAAGGCCGAGAAGGGTACTTGATCCGCCCGGCCCTTAATCCAAGTCCATTTTCTCTACACTGAAGGAGTTCTAACCTACAAAAAAAACTTGGACGAAGCTCATGTCTTCGGCTCTCCCGGGACAACTGACCCGGTGCGCGAAGGCTCTCTGGGTCACTCCACCCCCTGTGCACTCCCAGGAATGGATCCGCCCAGGTACACAAGGGTGGGAGCCCTGGGGCTGGGCTTGGGGGGTGGGCAGCGGAGGAGGGGCTTGCTGGCCTCCCTCCCCGGAAGTGGGCTGACTCAGGTGCGCTCCTGCCCCCAGGGCCTGAACCAAGTGCCCGCTTAGCCCGGAGGGCGCCCGCACCCCAGGCGACATGTGCAACCACCTGCTGCTCTGGACAAAGTTGATAGGACCGTGCTCCCGGAAGACAGAAACCCCCTGAGGGTGCTCCACCTGCCGAAAGGGGCCGGCCCCGCTGCGCACCTGTTCGCTGCCGGTCCCCACCCCTGTCTCCGACGCCGGTGGACCCGCCTAGGTGCGCCCTGCGGGGAGGTGCCAGGCCCAGCAAGGTCCCGGCTGGCAGAGGCGTGTCGGTGACGCTGCCTGCCTTCCCACTTTCGTCCCGGTGGGGGAGGTGTCGGGGACTTTCTGTGCTCCTAAATTGGATGACTCAAGTATCAATGAGCGCCCTCCCCGACACCTGAAAGTGATTGCTCTGGCCCCGCAGGCGACGCTCGTGGGGACGGAACTTTTGAAAAAGTTGCAGTCGTTCTTCGGCAGTTTCCTTACTTACTTGTGGTTCCCTCTCCACCTCCCCTTCGGTCATCCCTTACTATAGGTCAGGCTTCCGGAAGTTCTGACGCTTAAAGGCGCTGTGCCAAGACTGGAGGCCGGGAGACTTGTTTCGGTTCAAAGGTTCCCAGACCATCACCTGCACCCCGGGAGCGGCCAGCGGCTCTCGGCCTTCTCGGCGTTACACTGCTGCTCCCTGCTGGCGTCTAGAGGACGCGCATTCTAGGAGATTGTGAACTGGCCGGTGGGTTGGGGAGAACTATCATTTTCTTTTCTGTCTTGTAAAACTCGGTCACTTCCTTCTGCTCAGGAATATCCCGTAGCCCCTCCTTACTCCCAAGAAAATTTCAAAATACTCATACCGGCCTGATTGTCCCTCCCCAACGTCACTTTGCATTCTTAGCTTAGTTGGCTTCAGCCACACTGACCTGGCGTGTCCTGAATAGGACACATGACTGGTGTCGCTACCAGAATCCCCTTCCTGCTGCGGACACCTCATCCCATTTTCCTCAGGGCCGCATTCAAACGCAAACCCTTCTCATAAAATTTCACCCTGCTCATGAGCCGTCATGATTTAAAAATAGAGGAAATCATCATGGCCATCATTGCTAGCGTTTGTAATTCTAAACCAGTAACACGCATTACCTTGTGTTTTGTACACCCTCGCTATTGTCAATATTATCGATACCTAGGAACTTGGTCTCCATCATCTTCAACGTAGGAAAGAGAATCTGTATTAGATTAGAACCCGTCCTAATCACCCCATTTTCACTCGACATTTTTACATAACCCATCTCTACACAAAGATAAGATGCGTGCTTCCCCCCAGGGCAGGCTTATCCCCAACTTCTCTCTCCCACGTTTTCCTCCTCGAATCCTTTACTGTCATCTGCTATTTTACTAGCTCTGGTTTCTCCACCTGTCCTTTACCTGTCCTAAAGACAACGTTGCTTAGTAAATATTCCACCTCTGTATTTCCCGGCCCTCCTGTAGTTATGGGGGGGGGCTGCATTAGGTCAGTTATAGTTAGTAGCATCTATACAAACGTAGAGAGAGAGGGTTCCCCTCCCAGTCCAGAGCCTTTAATCGACAGTATGCCTTACCCTGCCCCAGGAAGCAGTGTGGTTTCGGATGACATCTGTGGGGACCTTGAAGAGGAGCCCTCTCCACTAACCAATGCTGGGTGTGAATGTGAAAAAAGAAGGAGGTTATGGAACTAAGATTTCCGAATGATGGAATCTAGACTATCACGATTAGTACATCCCTTTGACACCAAGGAGATGATTTAATGATGATTTAAGAATCTGTCCTATGGCCGGGCAGTGGTGGCACATGGCTTTTATCCCAGCACTCAGGAGACAGAGGCAGGCAGCAGATCTCAGTGAGTTTGAGACTTGCTCGATCTGCAAAGCAAGTTCCAGGACAGCCAGGACTGTTACACAGAGAATCCCAGTCTTGAAACCCCTACCCCTCCCCCCAAAAAAATCTATCTCTAGGAGAGGTGGTCCTTGTCATGGCTTCCCACTGGACTTCAGTATCTGTGTGTCCCCCTTTTGATGGACAGGAAGCCCTTGTCCCATTCCCATGTCAGGCACTTTTTGTCTCTGAGACAAAGGCCTGTGAGAAATAGGGGTTTTGTTTGTTTTGTTTTGTAAAATCTTTTTGATTCATGTTTTCAAAGGTTTTGGGGCGTGTTTGGATGGCCACATCATTTGGGGTTTGCATTTGAAGGCTGGTGAGGCCGAGAACTAAGCATGCTGCTTGCTTCACAGAGGCTAGGAAGCAGTCAGGCAGACAGGAAGGGCCAGGGACAAGAGAGACCCAAGGACTTCCCTACTTCTGCCAACTGAGTTCTGCTTCCCAATGATGGACCAGCCTGACTCCATCTTAAGATTAAAAGCCATACCTGTTTTCTGTAAAACTTGAATTTGACCAGTTTGACGTGTCCCACACCTATATCCTGACCCCCACCCTGATATGATGTTCTGCTAAATAATATTGAGATGTTCCTCCATGTTCCTACATAACCAAGAATCCTTGAAAACCCCTGGCCTTGAAGTTTGAGGCTAATATAAACCCAGCCTTCTCCCATGTTTGATGCTAAACCCCACCTCTAGACACAGAGCCCTGATATAAAATAAAGCTTGTGTAATATGACCCAAGAATTTGGGTAATGGTCTTTACTATCATTCGGTGGGATAAACACTAAGGTTTTCCAATACCATCAACATTAGTACCACCATCTGGGACTCAAACGTGTGGCCTATAGTGTATGTTTGGATTCAAAGCACACAGTGTCTTCATGTACTGGATGTGTGAGGGTGGATAATTTGCCTTTTGAGTTCATCCTATCTACTTCTTGGGGATATGTAAATTATTGTTGGAGGAAGCCGCTTGTTGGTTCCCAGCTACTCAGCCCCGAAATAATCACACAGAAATCATATTATTTAAATCACTGCTTGGACCACTAGCTCTAGCTTCTTATTTGCTAACTCTTACATCTTAATTTAACCCATCTACATTAATCTGTGCATTTACTGGTTGTGGCCTACCAGTAAAGTTTCAGTACATCTGTCTCCGGGTGCTGCTCCATGGCTTCTCCCTAACTCCACCTCCTTTCTCCCAGCATTCAGTTTAGTTTTCCCCACCTTGCTCTGTTCCCCTATAGGCCCAAAGCAGTTCCTTTATTAACCAATGATATTCACAGCATACAAAGGGGAATCTCACATCAAGTTATATCTTACTCACACATAGTTCAGTTTTTGTTTTATGTTCATGTGTCTGCCTACATGCATGTCTGTACACCACATGTGTGCCTGGTGCCCACAGAAGCCAGAAGAGGGCAGCAGGTCTTCTGGGATTGGAATTGCAGACAGTTGTGAGCTGCCGTATGTGTGATAGGAACCAATCCCGGGTCCTCTGGAAGAGCAACCGGTGCTCCTAACTGCTGAGACCTCTCTCCAGCCTTATATGTTCTTATATATTTGCTCTTATATGTCTTATATGTTCAATGTGTATTTCTGAAAACTCGCTGGACCCCAGTACACAGGGCTTAGCACCCAAGTTCTATGGGTGACATCACAGTACCCAAGAAGGTTCTTAAGTTCTTTCTGTAGTCTTCAGCCATGCTGGCCACTCTGTGGCTAGCTAGTCTTTCTCTTCCTGTGCTGTGGGCCCAGAAACTAATCAACTGTCCCCATAAGAATGTGTGCCAGTACGCCTTACTCTCGGGCAATGACGTGGTCCTGCAGTGTAACCACCCCAAACCACTATGGTATTTTTCTTCATCTCTGGAGGACAAGCTGTCCCTGCTCAACTCCATGCCCAACGTGAAGATACTGTTTGGGAGCAACCTGCAGTTACCCAACCCTCAGCCGTCCCAGACGGGGCTTTACAGCTGTCTGGATAATTACAAGGCCCGTGTGGTGGAATATGAGATTGACTTTCAGGATATAAGCCTGCTACGTGTCACACACAAAGACCTGGGCCAAAGACCCTTGGAAAATGAGACCATGAACCTAGAAGGCGAGGTACTCGTTTTTACCCGCTGGGATCCTTGGCAAGACTGTAACCGCTGCGAAAAACCTGGTGAGCGCAAACGTCTGGGTTACTGCTACATGGAGGAGCCGCTAGGAAAATCCATGCCCTGCTGGCTCTACCTGAGAAAGGAGAAGGTGACCCACGTCCGCCTGCGGCCTGAACTCCAAGTACAAGCCTGCCAGGTGCCCTGTGACCCCATCCCAGAAATCAGCCAGCCATACTTCGTCTTTGACACTCATCAGCTGGACAAAACCGCCAACCACGGGTGGCTCAGCTGTCCCTTGGCCTCCATCTACAGGTAACCAGAGCAGGGCCGACAGCCTTTCTCTTGGCCCTCCATCAGTCCTGGTCTCTGGGGTCTGTCTGCTGCTAGGGGGAGGTCTCCATCCAGTAGATAAGTTCTTCCTCTACACCTCGAAGCCTTCATGGTCAGTGAGAGCCTAGAGTCACTGGTTTGCTTAGATATTGTCACACCAGAAATCTCTGAGGTGCTGAGGAAGGTGATGACTGAAAAAAGGATCTGGTTCCCGCCCACACAGGCAACCTGGAGCCAGATACTCAGGCTCAGGATGAGCCAGTGTAAACATGGATGTGGGTCCTGTCTGCTGACTAGACCCTGAAGAACATGGTTTGCCCCTCTCTCCTTGTGCCAGCAACATGTGTCCTAGTCCTTTCTCTTTTGGGATTTTCGAGACAGGGTTTCTCTTTAGCTTTGAAACCTGACCTGGAACGAGCTCTTGTAGACCAGGCTGGCCTTGAACTCACAGAGATCCGCCTGCTCTGCCTCCCGAGTGCTGGGATTTTCTTTTTCTTTTTTGAGACAGGGTTTCACTATGTGGCTTTGGCTGGCTTGGAACTTGCTATAGACCAGGCTGGCCTTAAACTCACAAAAGATCTCCCTGGCGCTGCTTCCTGAGTGTTGGCCTGAAAAGTGTGCACCACCACACCTGGTACATGTTTGTTTCTTCCTCTGTCAATATTTTATGTAAGTAGGCAAAGGGTCATGGTATGACAAAATAATTATTAGGCAAAGAAATATCAACAGTTCTAAGTGCTGCATGCAAAAACTATTGGTAAAAACAGATTTACCAGGACAGCCAGAGCTATGTAGTAAGGCCCCATCTCAAAAATAAATAAATAAATAAAAGTCAAAAACAAGCAAAACAAACAAGCAAAAAAGCCAACCCCCAAACTTGCCAGAAGATGATTTATTGAATGTTTCCTGGTGACTGCCCTTGGTTATTACAGCTGTGGATGATATTTTGGTTTCTTTTTATTGGTTTTTAAATCATCATAAGAATCTCATAGTTACTTCATTTTTAATGTAAGATTTATTTTTATTTTATGTGTATGGGTGTTCTACCTGCATGTATTTATGTGCACGCTATGTGTGCAGTGCTCACAGAGGCCAGAAGAGGACGATAGATTGCCTGGCACTGGAGTTACAGAGGTTGTGACCCTTCTTGTGGGGGCTGGGAATCAAGCTTGGGTCCTCTGGAAGAGCAGCCAATGCTTTTAACGGCTCAGCTACCTCTCAAGCCCTTAAATCAGTGGTTCTCAACCTTCCCTGATGCTGTGACCCTTAATACAACTCCTCATGTTGTGGTGACCCCCCCAACCATAAAATCATTTTTGTTGCTACTTCATAACTGCGATTTTGCTACTGAGTGATGTCTCAGTTCCTAAGACCATTGGAAATCTGTGTTTTCTGATGATCACGACCCACAGGTTGAGAACCACTGCTCTAAGTGGTTCCTAGAGATAATAAAAATGCTGACTTCGAGCATTTATGTTTGCTGTTATGCCTCCCTCCACAATAGTTAGCCCTCTGGGACAATAAGCCCAAATAAACTTCTCATTCTGTAAGTGCCTCTGTCACTGTTTTCTCATAGCAACTGAAAAATACCTAACACGGTTTGATTCCAGGGGCCAAAGCCACACTTGCTGTTGAGTTCCAGAGGGACACAGTCAACTGTGGTAGGGAGGACATGGTGGCAGCAGGCAGGGAGGGCGTGTTGGCAGGAACAGAAGTCTGGCTGGTCACATGGCATAGTGTATGGGAATACAGTGCCACATGGGAGTTCAGATCCGGTGTGGGCAGGTTCCATGGTGGCTGGATCTCCTCACCTCATATCTTGGGATGGGAAGCAGAGAACAGTTGGTGGTAACATATTTGAAATAATTACCAACATTGTTGACTGTTTCTGGTGTGTGTGTGTGTGTGTGTGTGTGTGTGCGTGCACACTTGTGAACATGTGTGTACACAAACTTTAAATCCCTGAGTTAATTTCTTTAGTTGTAAATATAAAACGTTTTTTTTTCTTGTGCTATGTTGTATGAGGAGGGTGGCCCGGCTAGCTTACACCCTAAATAACCACACAGAAATTGTATTAATTAAATTACTGCCTGGCCCATTAGCTCTAGCCTCTTATTGGCTAACTCTCACATCTTGATTTAACCCATTTCTATTAATTTGTATAACACCACAAGGTCGTGGCTTACCAGGAAAGATTCAGCATGTCTGACCTGGCAGCTCCATGGCGGCTCTCTGATTCTGCTTTCTTTCTCCCAGAATTCAGTTCTATCTTCTCCGCATACCTAAGTTCTGCCCTATCAGGCCAAGGCAGTTTCTTTATTAACAAATGAAAGCAACACACAGACAGAAGGACCTCCTACACCGGGGCTATTGTTGTTAAATTGTTTTCTTTTCCCCACAAATTTACCCATTCCATCAAAGCATCAAGAAGCTTTGTCTTCAGCCAGTTGTGGTTTGAATAAGAATGGCCTCTAAAGGATCATAAATTTTAAAGTTTGATCACCAAGGAGTTGCATTATTTGAAAGGCCTAGGAGATGTGGCCTTGCTGGAGGAAGTGTGCCACTGTGTGTGTGTGTGTGGTGGGATGGGATGGGATGGAGGTGGGAGGTGGGTGGGCTCTGAGGTTCTCAAAGCCCATGCCAAGCCCAGAGTCTCTCTTTTCCTGCTACCTGTGGATCCAGATGTAGAACTCTCAGCTACCTCTCCAGCACCATTTCTGTCTACACACCACTCACTATGATCCCTGCCATGATGACAGTAGACTGAACCTCTAAACTGTAAGCCAGCCCCAAGTAAATGCTTCCTTTGTAAGATTTACTATGGTCATGGTGTCTCTTCACAGCAATAGAACACTGACTAAAACACGCGTATATAGCTGTAGTATGTTTTTGTTTTTATTTTGTTTGCTGTGGTTATCAAACTCGAGGCTTTGGGCATTCTAGAACACCCTACCTCTAAGCCACATCGTCCCCAGCTCAAGGTATTTTGAGACAGGGTTTCATTATATAGCCCAGATTTGTCTTGAACTCAGGATCTTCCTGCTTCTGACTCCTAAGTACTGGAATTATAGGCACACGACATCATTGTTAGTTCCATCCATTATCTTTCCATGTCTGTAGGAGCAGTACTAATGCCTCCTTCTAAATTATCTTAAGTTAGTCCCAGCACTTGGGATGCAGAGCAAGTGTATCTCTATGACTTTGAGGACAGCCTGGTCTACAAAGAGAGTTGCAGGTCTGCTAGGGCTACACAGTGAGACTCTGTCTCAAAAACCAAAATAAGGTCTTCAAGATGGCTTCGTGGGTAATAGTGCTTGCCACCAAATCCAACGACCTGCGTTTAGTCCCAAGAACACACATGGTGGAGAAAGAGAAATGACTTTGACAGGTTGTCCTCTGACTTCCGCACAGGCACCATGCTCCGTGCATTCCTGCGTGTGCAGGCACACCCATTGTTGTGTACTGGTCTCCCCGATTGAAACAATCCATCCCATAGGGAAGCTCCTTAAGCAGGAAAGTAAACAACTCAGAATAGCTTCAGGAAGTCCCTGGAACTGACCAGATTAACTAGGTCCCTTCCTGCCAGAGTAAACAATAAAAGCTGAGAAGATTCTGAGACCAAACCACCTGCCTGGAAGAAGCGGAAACCAGCTGAGCTGTCTGGAAGAGGGTTAGACCATCCGAGGCCCCTGGAAAGGCCACTCTCCAACCTGTGGCTGGGCAGTGGGCTCCAGGTTCCCGGCTTTTGTGAGTTATCACTGGTGCTGGGGTGGGTTTTGTTGATGCATCTGTCTTTGAGTCATTTCTGCTCCTGTAAGCAAATCCAATAAACTCATTCATTCACCACACACACACACACACACACACACACACACACACACACACACACAAGAATACGTGTAAGCAACAACAAAAACCAGATTAAACAAACACCCCCCTCCCCCCAAAAAAAAATCAGGTAGTTTTAAAGAAAAATCTCCACAAACGCACGGTTCTTAAGGACTAGCTGAGGACGTTTGAATGGCCAGAGGCTGTTTCCCTTTGGAACAGTTAATCCATAGCCAGCATTCTAGCAGGATTCTCAAATGTAACTCCCATGACTGACAGAGATAGTAACACGTGACCTTGTGTGACGTGTGTTGCCAGAAGCCTTGTTTCTTTATTAAGAGTGATACCTGGTACAGGGCAGTGGTGGTGCACACCTTTAATCCCAGCACTCAGGAGGCAGAGACAGGAGGATGTCCATGAGTTCAAGGCCAGGCTGGTCTACAGAGCGAATTCTAGGACAGGCTCCAACGAGAAACCCTGTCTCAAAAAACCAAAGAGTTGATGGCTGGCATTTGATAATCACCAAATATCTCTGCAGTGACTGGACCACAGAAAATCATGCTTTGCCCGGTGTTTTGTGTTGTGTGGGTTGGTGGTAGAAAGGGGTCACTCCAAGACTCAGGGAGAAAGTTTCTGTGAATTGAACCTTGAACAATCATTAAAGGCTGATTGATTGTTATACAAAAGTTGTTTTTTTGGGAGGGAGGGTAAATCAAGTTCCTCACACCAAAGCCCCTGGTCTGCCCTCTATGTTTTTCTGAAGGAAATCATCATGCCCCCCAGGTCAATCCTTATCGTGCACTGTTTGCTGTGCCCGAGAATCGAGGACATCCAGGTGTGCCAGGACCGTGCTGTGACTAAAGCCATGCAAAGGCTCTCCCGTTCCTTCAGAAAAACAGCTCTGTAGATAGCAGAAAAGAACTGCCGTCTCCCACAAGGACTCCTTCAAGGTCGAAGTACTTCTAGAAAAGAACTGTTCATTCGGAGGTTTGCCCCAGACACAGTAGCAAACAACTATTTCATTCTAATGCTTACCACAGATACAATGGTCCTACTGGATGTCTGCTACAATGTCTGGATCACCTCAGATTTCCCGTCTGAGAAGGTATTTAGGGAAAGATTTGGGCTAGAAGAAACTGGGAACAATATGTATT